ACGAGGGGTGTCTGTTTTGTCTGTTTTTGTGACTAACGTTTTTTTAGTTTAACCATGGAGTATAAAATTCAATATAAATTCTCGGTATTGCCTTGGACTCTACGATCGGCGGAAGTCATCGAGCATCCTTACACCTTCACCGGAAATACCGCCGTGCATAGAGCCCATTGTCTCGCGAGTCGCCACTAACAGAGGGACGGTGACCCTGCACATCGTCCATGAAGTCGAACCATGGCAAGTTCCTTTTCTGAGCTCCGCCTTGTCCATTTTGCGTTTTAATCGCCTTGTACAATACTGCGCCCGCAACTTTTTTATTTTTTCCTGAACTTGAAGCGTTGCTCGCTGAATGCTTAGCTTAGAAATTTCAGCATCGATGTATTTTATAACGTCCTCGTTTCTTCACATGCCGTCACAGTGATGTTGTATACTCTTTCTTCTGCCCAAATGAGCTGGTATGTTCGACAGACCAGTACAGGTGATTCTCCATTTCGAGCAGCAATTATTTTGCGCTATATAAAAAAGTGAAATCTGCATCTTGCTTCAGATCATAACGTTCCATAACACTGATAAACTTCGCCTTTTACCTTGTGCACGCCTGTAGCCCAAGCTGGCCCGCTTTGGCCCAAGGTATTCGACGGGCCAGAAATCCTGGCCGTTGGCCTCGAGTAAGCCCCGCTCAAGCACTGGAAGTGACAGTGGAAACGCGACTGGCCCTGGCACGTACTAGCACAGCTCGGCCCTGGCCCAGCAGTGAAAACGCGGCTACTGACTCCACCAAGGGCCGTCGTCTGCTCTCTGGATCCCTGCCGGGTATTACTGCTTCTAGCTCCTCCCACCATCATCGGGGCCCTGTCTGATATCATCTCCCTTCCTACACTTCACCTGCTCTGCGTACTCCTCCCTAGTACTAACATACTAATGCACATTTTTGTGTTATACTATATTCATATACATACACATTTACACTTGAACAAGGACTCCTTAAAATAACGCGGCTAATATGCATTAATTCATGCTTAAGTAATGCACAGATAATACTAAGTTACTGTATAACACCTGAAGAACTAAACCATTAATTAATGATTATTGCATCAGCAACTAATAATGAGTCAATATGATTAATAGATTAAGAAATACATGGATTGCTATTAATTCAATGTGTTATTGTGTATTAATTCCTTAATAACATATTTTATTAAATAATAGTGGAAATTCATGTGTTAATTGGCACAATTAGTCAAAGCTATGCACTTCAACTTCCAGTTGTCTGCTTTAATTAATCATTAGCTAATGATTTGCAAAGGTATCATTATGTTATGACTTTACTTGTTGGGGCACATCATTATTAACTAGTCATTTAGTAATTATAGTAATTTGCACATGAATTAGCATTAACAATGAAGTAATTAATCATGTATTAATGCATATTAGTGTACCTGTCATATTATCTGGAAGTTGAAATACAAGGCTTTGGCTCATTCTGGTAATTAACATATTTATTAACACTATTAGTTAAAAAATGAGTTATTATGGAATTAATCCAAAATTACATATTTAATCAATAACAATTCATGTATGAACTAATAAATTAACCTTACAGACTCTTAATTAGTTCCTATTGTGGTAATCATCAATTAATATCTTAAATAATCATTAGTTACACATTAATTCAGTATTATCGGTGCATTAGTTAAGCATAGTGCACCCGTATTGTAAAGTGTTACCATAACGTGTAACTAAAGATACTATAAAAAAATACTTAAGTACATAAGCGGGTAACAAAAAAGTATTGTAAAATTCAGCTGATTGCATTTAATATAAATTTTAACTACGATTAGCATGCACACAGTAAGAATCTGAAAACATTTTGTCATCAAGTTTGATTGTTCTAAAGTATACTTAGGTCACACATAAAACTTTCTGAGTGCCACCTCAACAAACAATAAAATATCAAAGGTCACATCTGTAAATAAATGATGCACAAGCTTTTATACAAATAGAAATAGGTCTGGAGCCATTGCATGACGCAAATATATCCACAATATGTGTCGTCATATGCAGAAAGTCCTAGTTTACATGCCAACAGTTGCAGTGGATATTGTCTCTTATCCCCTTGTGATCAGATCAGAGAGGATGTTTATGAGTTATATACTCGCCTCTTGGTCTCCACTGATGCCATTTCTACACACTCCCACCCAGCACAGTCAAGATAAACAAACACACACAAAACAAACACTCCGAAGACTTATTGTACCATTGCAGCACAGTCCTTTCACTGACCTTAGCACAGGATGTAGCCAGAAGATCTTTGACAATCTAACAAATGCACAAGGGTTTGTGGATTATATCATTAGAGACTATATATATATATATATATATAATTTATTTATTTTTTTTCTAATGTAATTTATTCCTGTGAACAAAGCTGAATGTTCAGCATCATTGCAGTCTTCAGTGTCACATGATCCTTCCAAAATCATTCTAATATGCTGATTTGGTGCTCAATAATCATTTCTTATGATTATATCTATGTTGAAAACAGTTATGCTACTTCGAATTTTGGTGGAAAACATTAGTCTATATACAGTATATTCTTTTCATTGATTAATAAATTGTAGAAATTCTTTTTTTAAAGATTTTTACGGACTAGTTTGAACAATTTCATAAATCCTGGCTGAACAAAACTGTACTGTATTTATGAATTTATGAACGGATAAGCAGGGCGGGAAGTAAACTCTGCAGTCCAGTTGTCCTCCAGGTGCAGACTTGACCCTTTCCTAGAGTCTGACTGCTGCCATCTAGTGGTTTAACTTACGGTGTGAAGGATCATGTGTCAACACCTCCATATCCACATGCATTCGTTAAAAATGTCAAATGTCAATGTGAAGCATTGATATTTTGTATAGACATGGGTTAAGAAGAAAATGTGCCTATGCTAAACAGTCTGCCACGATGATAGTATGTTTTTGATGACAACCAGAGCATTGTTATGTGGTTTCTAAGGTGTTATGATTTTTTTTTCTCATTTGTTTACGGTTGTTTGCTCACTGGTCCAAGCCAAAAGCGTCCACCCACAAGTGTCAGTATGATATTCTGTTTCCTAATGGGTCCCTTCTATACATTGTATGCAAGTATGATTTCAAGTCTTTGTATTTTTGTTCAATGTAACCTTGGTGAGCCCAAGAGATGGTCACACATTATTTTAGGCGTCTTAACTACATAAAAAAAAGAAAAAAAAAAAAAGAAAAAAAGTAAAATGCTGCTAAAAACTTTTGCTGCTATAGAGATGAGATACGGGTAAGGTAAGGTTAGGGACATGTTAGGTGGTATGGGTAGACTTCCTTATTTCAGCGCGACAAAATCGGTGTTAAAATATTAAATAATATCCTGGCTCTTCCCAGCTTTGTAATGGCACAACAATACTGTACTGTAATTGCTCCAAAAAGTGAATCCATCCATCATATCAGTAATCCATTCGACTCCAGTTGGTTAATAAATGCCTTCTGAAGTGAAGCGGCCGGTTAAGCCATCAGAGGTCACCTAGTGATTATAGTTTATAAAGTTTAAAATATGTATATTTTTTCTTACAAAAACACATCGCTACGAACACACTTCAGAAGGCCTGTTTATTAACCCGTACTTGTATGATAGATGTATGTGTTTTTTTGGAGCGCAGCCCAGGTGAAAAGGAAATGTATTTAAAATGTACTTATTTTGATATACTTAATGTATTTTAAGTGCACCGTATTAAATATGTATTAAATGTGCTAAATTGAAACAACTTCAAGTATATTAAGTGTACTTTAATATGTATTTAAGTTCAATTTTAAGGTAATAGTAATATATTTTATTATATTAAATTGTGCTAAAATGGAACCATTTTAAGTACATTTAATGTAATATAATAGCACTTATTTAAAGTGTATTTTAATACACTTTAAATCGATTTTAGAAATACAGCATTAGTATATTTTAGCTTCACATTAATGCGTTCTAAGTATATTTTAAATATAATTTCAGCTTATTAATAATGTATTTGTAGAACAATATAGGACCCACTATTAACATATTAAAAATATATTTTTTCCAAAAACCATTTAATATAAAAATAATATATTTTAATGTATTAAAAATACAGTTAAACATTTTAATTCAACAAAACCCAGTAAAAAAATATTTCTACAAAACACACAAACACTCTTTGAAAGATAAACTTTAATGCACTACATCAGTAAAGCATTATGAAAACTAAACAAAATACATTAACATAAAATGCATTGATTTGCAGAGGTATTAAACAGAACAAAAAATAAATAAATAAATAAATAAACTAACTGAAAGGAGTAGTTCACTTTAAAAAAAAAACTTTTGCTGATAATTTACTCACCCCCATGTCTTCCAAGATGTCCATGTCTTTCTTTCTTCAGTCGAAAAGGAATTAAGGTTTGATGAAAACATTCCAGGATTTTTCTCCATATAATGGACTTCACTGGGAACAAAACGGTTCAAGGTCCAATGGCTAACAGTCAATTTGTCGTGAAAGCATGAGAATTGCTCAATTGCGAGAGTCTCGTGCTGAATGCTTGAGAGTTGGCAGCCCTGACAAATCTTTTTTCAAGTCAATTCATTCATTTCGTTCGTTGAATGAACCTAATGACTCAGAAAAAGATTTGTTAATTTTGATGAACGAGTTTGAATAGGAGAGTTATGAACATGCATAACAGAACAGAGCATGGCAACCATTTGAGCTTATAAAACTTAAACGTTGTTTTTTTTTTTTTTTTTAAATGACCGATCGTTTCGCTTGATAAGACCCTTATTCATCGTCTGGAATCGTTTAAAGCCCTTTGAACAGTTTGCACAGAAACTGCCTTTTGGACCTTGAACCGTTTGGTTCCCAATGAAGTCCATATGGAGAAAATCCTGAAATGTTTTCATCAAAAACCTTAATTTCTTTTCAACTGAAGAAAGAATGACATGGATATCTTGGCATGGGGGTGGGTAAGTTATCAGCAAAAGTTTTTTTTTTTTTTTTAAGTGAACTAATCCTTTAAGTCAAACAAAGTGAAATACAATAGCAAAAAGTAAAGTGGCCAAGTCGTGAGTAAAAAGAGAAGTTCGTGACTTGTTCAGTCTGCCATAGACTCTTTTGGGGACATCAGAACCACCGAGGGAAATCTGGAAAGAATAAAAAAAACAAGCATTAGTATAAACTTGTTCATTTATAATTCTAATAAAAAGCTGTCACTTTGTTACTTAATTCAGAACACTTACTGAAGTATTAATGCACAAAAGTCAGATATAATTATTATAACAAATAGGATTTTTCTTTATCATAAAGAATTTTCTTACCATGTCTGAGGTTTCAGGAAGACACAGCTCAGATGATCTTGGGCTTGAGCTGAATGAACCTCGTTTCATGGACTCCAGGGCCTCTTTGAGAGATGATAGTATCCCTGGAAGCTCTACAAAAAAAAATAAAGTTGCATGTTATACAAAGTTAGGGCAGAACAAACACTAGTTTGTGTTCTTCATATATAATTTGTATTTTGTTTAAATGGTAAAACATATTTAATGAACCATTACTGTAACTTCCACGCTATTATTGAAGTAATTATTCATTATTAATAAAGACAGAACATTCTATTGAAAGTTACAAGTTGGTGACAGCTGATAACGACTTGATTAAATGTAAAAAAGCTGAATACCACACATAAAATCATATAAATCAGTCCCTAGAGAAAAATACGATTATGCGATTGCATAATTCAATGCATAATCAGGCAAAATACATATTCATGCGGGGGCCGGGGGACGCAATTTTTCAAATACGTGTTAATATATAATAATAGGTCACTTAGCTACTTAGCTGCTACATGACACACTATTGACTGTTTTTGTTGTTATTCATTGATTTGTTGTTATACAAATCAAGAGGATCAACTACTACTTACTCGACTTGACCTCATCTACTCACGGTTAGGTTTAATATAAAAAAAATGTCTTTGCAATGTGCAAATTCCTTGGTTAGGCTAAATATTAAATATAAAAACTCTCATTTCATTATTTAACATCGTTTTAATTTCTCAGTGCAAGATATTTAATAATTGGTTTTATAAAAGCTTATAGTTGGTGATTACAACTTAATTTATTTATCGAATTGACATGAAAACTGACAGCCTACTAATAATTAATTAGATTTTACTATGAATTAAATATCACAAATGTGAAAGTTTTATTAGAGCTTAAAATATATTATAATATTTAAAACACAAGAAGTTACTTAGGGACAATCAAGCCTGTCGTGTAATCACCATTAATAACCTTTTTTCTGAAAACACAGTGTGCAATGTTTTTATAGTTGTATTATGTCACTGTCTAGATCTATAACAATTAAGTTGATAGACGTCAATGGATAGACGTTAACTCGCTTTAGTGTCAAATCAACAGAAACGCCAGTAATCCACAGAACATCGTCATCAACTTCTGAAAATATTTTCTAAACCCAAAGTGAGAATAAAGCCAATTACACTAATCACTTAAACTAATAAACTTACCACCAAGAAGTAAGATCTTTTCTGGCAGTATCTTGCTCTGTCCATGTCGTGGCGGCGCAGCTCTGCGTTGTCCTCTTCACTGCTAAATTGTTCGCGGGAGCTGACGACCTGGTAATCTGCTCGTGTGTTTCTCTTAATATTAGATCGGTGCTATCCACATTCACTAGGTCCGAGTCAGTGAAATAACAAAGCAAAATTTGGAAAATACATGATTTCTGTTGAGATATCCGTCCGAAGCTATAATGGAATACCACAGACAGTCAGTATCCGTTGTCCGCGCCCCGCCCAACATGTAAGTTCAAATGGCAGTGTGTGATTGGACGATTGCCGGCAAGCTTGTTTTGAAAAGATTGGCTCTGATTGGTCCAAATGAATGCAACTGGAAATATTAACTAACATCCACAAAAAAGAAACAACTCTGTTAATATAAACCTAACATGCTTTATAACAAGTTTTTTTATTCATTTTGACTAAACAAATGTAAGAGTCAAGCTTTAAGAAATTTATTTTGTTTTTCTAGTATGTACACCTGATCTTTTATGTTGATGTGTGCACGTACTGGTATTCACTTGTTTTGTGGAAAAGACTATTTGATTAATTAATGCAGAAGTATAGAAGTGCATTACTTGTTAGTCAAATTTTAGTGCTTTTCATAATTATAACAAATTAATTTAAAAAAGTTAAACCTAAAACACATAATATAAAGTGTGAAATACATATGCATTGAGTTAAGTGTTGGTAGTATTACAAAAAGTGTGGTAGTTTTTGGTATATTTCTTAAAAGCTTAACTGAGCACATATTTATAATTAAAGTGCTACTTCTAGTCTTTGTAGAAATATACAATTAATTTCGATACATGTTTAATTGCCTTCATGTTAGGAAGGGAATTAAAGGGACTTGAATTTTTAAACTTGAAGTGAACACAAAAATACTTTAATTTAGCAACAAGTATGCTTTCTGTAAATACACTAAAACTTCACTAAAACTGTGTTTGTTTTTAGCATATTTCTAAAAGTGTAATTAAGTGTATATTTATTATCATTGCGTTTCTAGTAAAACATTTTTAAATATAATTAAAATATGTTTGTATTTAGCATATTTCTTAAAAATGTAATTAAATACCAATGTACTTCTAGTACACTTTTTAGAAACATATTTAAAGCATGATTGTCATTAGCATATTTATTAAAAATATAATTAAGCACACATTTATTACCAATGTACTAATAATATACTTTTTTAGAAATACATTAAAAGTATGCTTTTCTATAGTGTATTTCTTAAAAGTGTATTTAAACATATATTTATTACCAATGTACTTCTAATATACTTTTTAGAAATACATTTAAAGTATAATTATCATTAGCATATTTATTAAAAATATAATAAAGCATACATTTATTACCAATATATTACTAATATACTTTTTATAAATACATTAAAAGTATGCTTTTCTATAGTATATTTCTTAAAAGTGTAATTAAATATATATTTATTACCAATGTACTTCTAGTATACTTTTTAGAAATATACTAAAATGCAATAAAATACATTTTTAGTACACTTTAAATAAGCATGTTGTAAATACAAATGTATTATAAACACACTATTTGTATTTCAAATATATTTTTAATACATTTAATACAACGTCTTTTTCACCTGGGAGGATACTATTTAACTCCGATTGTGTGGCTTAAAGTAGAAAGACACATATGCCTATCTTGAGGGTGAATACATGATGGTATAATTTTCATTTTGGAGTGAACTATTCCTCTAAAATATAGCGTTGAAAACACCCACAACCTTACGTACATGTTTGAGTAAAAGCAATAGTGATGCTTGCCTTGGCAACATCACCAATTATCAAATGAAAAGAATACTTCCTCTCAAACACACATTAACTCTATTTGTATGTGTCTATGTTCGTGTGTGTATCCCATCATGGTGTTGGCCTTCGGCAAAGCAAGTGCTCCATCCCAGACAGTTTGCATTTCTAATGCTTGACTGAAACGGTAGCCCAGCGGTAACACACAGCACTTTAGTTCTTTATTTATTTAGTTTTGTGCTGCATCTGATCTCCTGTTCTAGAATTAATTACTTAATTAGCATAGTGAATTAGCAAACGATTATGATGCATGGAAAAGTTCCAACAACACCCGGCACAGTTTGGGCATGTGCATCCAAACGCGCACGCACACACACACACACACACACACACACACACACTAGCTGGGTGGCTTGCAGGCTTGTCGCCAGTAAATTAGAGGGGCTGTAATAAAACAGAACATTTTAACAAACAGCCGCTCCAAAGTGCTTGTGATATTGTGCCCTCTGTGCGAGACGTAATAAAATCTCAGGGTTAATTTATTAGCCAAGTTGTACAGTGCTAATGAATTAATTCTTCACCCCAGTCCCACCAACCACCTCATCAATCAACCTTATTTCTTCAAGCATTACATTTCAAATCTAGCGTGGGCATTTATTCACACTGATCTATGATCAACTTCTGCTGTGGGTCACTGATAAATGATAAAACTAACCAAACTTTTTACTACGAAAATGCACATGCAACTAGGTGGTTTCTTACTCGTCTAAATATAAACAGCTTCCCCCAAGTTTGATTTTATATATATATATATATATATATATACACTCACCTAAAGGATTATTGGGAACACCATAATAATACTGTGTTCGACCCCATTTCGCCTTCAGAACTGCCTTAATTCTACGTGGCATTGATTCAACAAGGCACTGAAAGCATTCGTTAGAAATGTTGGCCCATATTAATAGGATAGTTGATGTTGATGCGACATTTGTGGGATGCAAGATGCTCTATTGGGTTGAGATTGGGTTGGTGACTGTGGGGGCCATTTTAGTACAGTGAACTATAGTCATGTTCAAGAAACTAATTTGAAATGATTCAAGCTTTGTGACATGGTGCATTATCCTGCTGGAAGTAGCCATCAGAGGATGGGGACATGGTGGCCATAAAGGGATGGACATGGCCAGAAACAATGCTCAGGTAGGCCTTGGCATTTAAACAATGCCCAATTGGCACTAAGGGGACTAAAGTGTGCCAAGAAAACATCCCTCACACCATTACACCACCACCACCAGCCTGCACAGTGGTAACAAGGCATGATGGATCCATGCTCTCATTCTGTTTACACCAAATTCTGACTCTACCATCTGAATGTCTCAACAGAAATCGAGACTCATCAGACCAGGCAACATTTTTCCAGTCTTCAACTGTCCAATTTTAGTGAGCTCTTGCAAGTTGCACCCTCTTTTTCCTATTTGTAGTGGAGATGAGTGGTACCCGGTGGGGTCTTCTGCTGTTGTAGCCCATCCGCCTCAAGGTTGTTGTGTGTTGTGGCTTCACAAATGCTTTGCTGTATACCTCGGTTGTAACGAGTGGTTATTTCAGTCAAAGTCGCTCTTCTATCAGCTTGAATCAGTCGGCCCATTCTCCTCTGACCTCTCGCATCAACAAAGCATTTTCGACCACAGCATTTTTCGCCCATCCTGGATGTTTTACCCCTTTCACACCATTCTTTGTAAACCCTAGAAACGGTTTTGTGTGAAAATCCCAGTAACTGGACAGATTGTGAAATACTCAGACACCAACAGCCATGCCACGCTCCAAATTGCTTAAATCACCTTTCTTTCCCATTCTGACATTCAGCTTGGAGTTCAGGAGATTGTCTTGACCAGGACCACACCCCTAAATGCATTGAAGCAACTGCCATGTGATTGGTTGATTAGATTGTATTTGTGCAAAATTGTGAGTGTGTATATATATATATATATATATATATATATATATAATATTTATAATATTTGATATTAGAGGTTTGTTGAAATCTGTAATCTAATGTGTGCTAGTGACGATTGGCTTAGAAATTGTCCCTAATTTTAGAATTTGCATAACTGTTCATGACAGCCGATTAGCAACAGCGAAGGTACGAATTCAAACACAGTCCCATATGGACACATCATAAGTGACATCAGCACACATGAGCGTTATCTGCCGGTGTAATTGCAGTAATTAGTGACGTCTATAGGGACCAGCGACGGGAATGAGCCGGGGTGTTGAGGAGCTCCTGTGAGATCTTCCACATGCCCATTAGAGCCGTGCTGACGTGACTGACAGCTGAAGACCAGAGAGACCAGTGAAAGCACAGCTGTAGGTGCTGGTAAACTTTCAATGTGACTCAATTTGATTTACAACAAGCGTGTGATACTTCCGTTCATTACAGCCCTGGATAATGATGCCCTAAAATTAAATAAAAATCAAGAATATTTTTTTATAGCCAATTACAATTAAATAGCAATTGTTACTACTGACATTTGGGGAACACTTTATTTTACAGTGTCCTTGTTAGATGTGTTACATGCACTTACCATAGTAATAACAGTAAATTATGCATAATTACATGCAACTAACCCTAAACCCAACACTAATCCTACCCTAACCCTATAAAAAGGACATAATAAGTAGTTGCTTAATAATACTCAGTACTTACATGTATAATTGCACTATAACAATGACACCTTAAAATAAAGTTATGACATCCGCTTCAAAACATTACAAACTTTTGTTAACTCTACAGTTGGTAAATCCACTTCACTAGCTAAATACTCTTCAAAATGTGATGCCATAAACGGACATTCAAACACAACATTCTAGAGATGGCTGCAAGTTTGTTTCTCTGACGCTTAAAGTCCGTGGTGTGTGTCTGACGCGATACGCAGTGTATTCCTCATGCTCACAACTTGGCTGCCGCCCCTGTAGGTAGCACAGTGCTGTTTTGATACTGTAAAGAGTGAAAATAAGGCAACAAAACACACTTTTTTATCGTTCATTCTATTATCGTGCTTTACCAGAGGAAACGACGAGAGAATCAGTACCTGTACAGTACCTGAGGGTAGAACTGCCACTCACATGACATCACAGCAGTAGCAAACCAAACAATCCAATGAAACAGTCAATTTCAGGTGGAGAAAATTTAGTACCGTCCTACATTTTTGTTGTTGTGGTTGCTGTTCAAGAAGCCGTTTAACATGAAAATAAAAGGGCAGAAAAGACTATTACGAACCCCATTTCGTGCCGGCTTTAAAGTAGCCCACATAAAGAACAGCAATGCTAATGCTAGCTAAAGAACTGCTATCTATGGACCCTTCTCACATTTCCATGGTTCTCAGAAGTGGAAGTCGCCATAGTTGAGTGAACTTCTGTAGTGGGGAACGGGAGCAGTGCAGATATCATTTTACAATATCATTTTCTCCAATATATATAAAAAAAAAAAAAAAAAAAAAAAAACAACCACAAGGAAATAATTGCTACAACTTAGAAGGGAAGAGGGGAAAATATTGAGAGATTAATTACAGCAGG